GTATATCATGAGCCTGTACATGACGATTGCAGCGTTGTTGCACGTTGCGGTGCGTCAGGTAACACGGTCTGATATAGCGGTCTGATATAGCGGCCTGATATGCCCACGCTCATGGTGCAAGGATGCACCTCCGATGCGGGTAAAAGTACCCTCGTCGCCGGGTTATGCCGCGTTTTCAAACGAAACGGCTTGTCAGTCGTGCCATTCAAGCCGCAAAACATGGCGTTGAACAGCGCAGTCACGCCCGATGGCGGCGAAATTGGGCGGGCGCAAGCCTTGCAAGCACAGGCAGCGGGGCTTGCGCCTTCCGTCCACATGAATCCCGTGCTACTCAAGCCGAATACCGACACAGTGGCACAAGTCATTCTGCAAGGGCATTCCATCGGCAATCTTGAAGCCCTCGATTATCACTATTACAAGCCTAAAGCAGCGGCTGCCGTGTTTGATTCCTACGCCCGTCTGTGTGCCGAATACGAGTACGTGTTGGTAGAAGGCGCGGGTAGCCCGGCGGAAATTAATTTGCGCGAAGGCGATATTGCGTTGTTGCAGGGTGGCTTGGATTGGTTGGAAGCGTATACGGGTAAGCCAGTGCTGGGTGTATTGCCGTATTTGCATGGGCTGCATTTGGATGCGGAGGATGCCGTGCCAGAAAGTGTGGCTTCTTCAAGTTCGTTTCGTGTTGTTGTCCCGCTTCCTTCTTCCGCACATCAGCAACCACACGGATTTTGAACCATTGTGCCTGCATCCACAGGTAGATTTCCGTTATGTGTGGCACGAGGAAGTGATTCCGCCTGCCGATCTCATTATTTTGCCGGGGAGCAAGAATACCGGGGTTGATTTGGCTTGGTTGCGTTCACAGGGCTGGGAGGGGGCAATTCAGCGGCATTTGCGTTACGGTGGGAAAGTGATCGGTATTTGTGGCGGGATGCAAATGTTGGGGCAAGCGATTCACGATCCGCACGGTATTGAAGGCGTACCGAGCAGCCACCAAGGTTTGGGTTTACTCGACTTTGCAACGATCTTGCAGCCAGAGAAACAGCTTACTAACCGGAAGGGGGTGCTGAGGATGATGGTCTGTTTGACACGCCTGAAACATTGCACGCATTATTGAAATGGGCTGGCCTACAGACATACTATTCTTTTGATTATGATGTGAGTTACGCACAAACATACGCTCCATATTGGTCAACCTTATCCCAAAACTGTTGCCATCTTCCTTTTGACTGTATCAATGCGCGTAAGGATAAAATCACGTTGACACCTTGGTTTTTCCAGCGCATCCCGGAGCCGCAAAGCCGTTGCTTCACCAAGGTTTTGCAGGCGGCTTCGGTGACACCCGAACCAATGGGTAAGTGGTTTGCCGTATGTGCCGCATAATCCATCATCTGGCGGTGGTTTCTAAAAAATCCACCCTCAGAGAGGGTGGGATTGAGATAAACCCTAAAAGGGGATCAATTTGCCTTTTGCCCCCAGAGGGGGCAAGGCAGGCTGTCCCGGCAGCCGTTTAAACTTCAATCAAAACAGTTGCTTTTGTTCCATTCTGCGATCTTGGCGTTCCTGATACTTGACGTAAGCCCGTATCTTCTCGGTGTCCAAACCTACCGTGTCGACACAATAGCCAGGTGCCCAGAAATGGTTCCCCCCAATAGGGCTTACGTCGTAACTGCCGAAACCGGTTTAGTACCCGAATGGCGGTGCGGCCTTTGACGGTTCCAACATAGTAGGAAACCGACACTTTCGGTGGGATCAGTACCAACACATGGACATGATCCGCTTGGATATTCAGCTCCACCAGTTCACACTTTAGGGACTCGGTGAAAGCCCGTATACACTGCTCCACCTCCTGCTTGATCTCGCCCGCCAGAATTCGGTAACGATACTTCGGTGTCCAGACGAGGGGGTAATGACAATGCCAAATTGTATGTGATAGTTTGCGAAAACGACTCATTGGTTTTTCCTCAGGTTGAGGCTGTGGGGACAGCTCCTTCGAGGAATACCATTGGG